CAAAGGGAGCGATGGTTCTCCTTCCCCATTTCCAGAATCCAAACCAACCTTGTTTGCTTTGCACTGGAGAAAATGTGGAGCTGATTTGTTCCCCGAGGTCTAGAGGAGTTTCTTCCATGAGAGAAGCTGCTGTGGTGATTTGTTGGGGTTTGGGGTGTGGCCAAGGAATCAGGTTCCTCTTTTTCTTGCTTTGTCTTCTCTTCCTCTCACCTCTCCAGAGGTCTTCCATCCTACTGTGGCCCATTTTGTCTCAGCAAGGCCAAACTTTTGGTTAGAAGCTCACAAAAGCAGAAGAGCAAGTACCCTATTTTTTTTTTCTTTCTTTTTTTTTTTTTTTTAAGATTTTTTTTTTTTTTTAATGAGTACACTGTAGCCGTCTTCAGACACACCAGAAGAGGGCATCCAATCTCATTACAGATGGTTGTGAGCCACCATGTGGTTGCTGGGATTTGAACTCAGGACCTCTGGAAGAGCAGTCAGTGCTCTTAACCGCTGTGCCATCTCTCCAGCCCCCCTATTTTTTTTTTTTTTAAGACAGATCATATAGTCAGGCTGGTCTCAAATTCATTGTGTAGCTGACAGTCCTTGAACCTCCTATTCCGCATACTAAGTGCTGCAATTACAACATGTGCCACCATGTTCATCTTGTTGGCGTTCTTAAAAAAAACTATTAACTGCCTCACACTAAGAGTTTCCCCTCAGCTAGCTGATACTCAGTCTTTCCCTGGTTCTGCATTGTCACAGCACCACCTGGTGGCCATTGGCTGTATACCAGGGACAAACCCTAACAGATTGTTTCTCCAGCCAGCACCTGACAGAGGTCTGATTTCCATCCATTATTTAATTCAGATGGAGAACCTGAGGCAAGACTCACAGGTTTCAAGGCTGGGAGTGCTGGGTTTGAGATGGGCTGTGGGATCTGTTCCTTGTCCTTGTGCTATGTTGTGCTGCGGCAGACAACAGACAGGAAAGTTTTTATGTTCTCCTTTTGGACCTCCATGATAGGTTGAGCACTGTTTAAAAAAAAAAAAAAAAGTAGGGGCCTGGAGTAAGGATGCCATTGGGCTTCATCTCCATCAGGCTTGGGCAGGCCTCTGCTGAGTTGCCTTAAGGGGGTTACATCCCCTCTTTGATGCTGTTTTCCATTCAGGAACATTCCAGGGCTGGCTGAGTCTAGTGCTCTGTCTAGTGCTGTGTTGTAATATGGTAGTTATCTGTCTTGTTCAGACTAGCCATGAATACTTACATAGTGCCCAGAACAAAACAGACAGATGCCATCTATGGTCAACCTGACACAGGTGACTTGTTGCTGCTGAGGTCTCTTGGTAGATAGTGTTCACTGTACTCTTCACATATGGCATACACACCTTATTCTTGCACATTGGTCACGCACATACACACCTGTCTCCAGCCCTTCTTGACTCTACATTAGACCTCCCAGCCTCTTGATAAGTGAGCTCTGTTCTGCACATGGCTTTTGCCCAGTTCCCTCTAGTTGCTCACTGACCACTACAAATGCGGGTTTTCAACTAGCAAAGATAGGTTGACACCACTGTAACCCAGCTTTTGGCTTGTGATCTCTTCTGCATCCAAGGCTATGTAATGGCCTTGGGTTCACGTGGGTCATCCAGAGCCATCTCTATCTTGAGTCAGTTTTATGTCTGTCAAGCCTTCTAGCCACATAAGGCATACCCTTGTTTTTCCCCAGTCTCTTAAAATATGCTGGTTATATCTGTTGCTTTGTTGAGGACAGCAGTGCTACCACAAGTGCTCAGCTTTTATGTGGATGAATGTCCAGGTGGAGTTTGTTTGCACTCTGCCACTTGGTAATTCTCTGCCTGGTAGCCATCTCTAGTTCAGAGTAGTGTTCAGTGTGAAAAAATAGTTTATGTGACTTGGGCAGGCCAGTGGTGGTAGAATGCTTAGGTATTTGCAGGCTAGCTGTGACTAGGACACATGGATGATCAGGAAGTAGGAAGGACCTTCCATTGCTGTCCAGGCTCTCACATCAGAAATCCCAGCACTCAGGAGGCAGGAGCAAGGTGGCCAGCCTGGCTCAGAAAACTAACCAAGAGTTGGATGGAAGGACATTGTGGAGTGGGGAGAACACAGCAGCCTGGGTGACTCCTGTGGCCTCAGTGTGGCTGTCTAGCCCACATGCCATGTTGCAAGCCTGTTACTGTCTGCTTTCTCACCCATGGGCTCTGCTGTGGTGAGGATAGAAGGGCTATAGTTAAGGTAGCTGCAGCTGAAGAGCTCCCAGGCTTTAGGGAGTCATCACTTATTTACTGGGTCAGACCCTGCCTCTTCATCTCTGTCCCAGAGTTGAGTTAAAGCTTCTGACCTGGCTCATCACCCAACCTTCCTCCCAGCCACTTGCTTCCAGCTTCCTTTGCATTTAGCTCCCTATTTGTCAGTCCCCTGTAGCTGCTTCAGCAGAATCTGAGCCACCAGAATGTAGTGGTACCCTGGAGAGGCAGAGGTATAGGCAGATAGTCTTCAGAGCTAGTGTACATAGTCGGTTCTAGGCTATATGATGAGAATTTACTTATTTTTTAAATCTGGGTTGTTGGCATGGTGTTTGTGGCTATGCCAGCACTGTTGCCAGTAACTAAGACCATAGAGTCTCCTCAGTGTTTGGCAGGAAGGACTCTATTATCTCCAGACTCTTTCTCTCCCCAGCTCTGGCTGGCCGGATAGTTCACATCCTATAGCTGCACTACCAAAAGTCCTGACACTGTCGTCTGAGCTGGTGACTTAACAGTGGGTATCACAGCATCTCTTGGTACCATGGAAGCTTGACATATGGTTTTTGTTTGTTTTAAGTAATTTTTAGAACTCTCAACTGTAATTAATAGCAAAAGTTTTCCACTGAGTACTAAAAATTGAGATATGAAGTGTAGTTGATTGGATGATTGAGCAGCTATAACTCATTCAGTTCAGGTGCTCACCAGTGAGGAAGTCTCCGTCATGCCAGAGTTGTCTGAGTGCTGAGAAGGGCCATAGTGAACCTATTATGACCTTTTGAGATTAAAATAACTTTCCCCTGAAGTTCCTCTAAGCTTGACACTGCTAGACCACAGGAAGGAGGTGGCCAGAGAAAACAAGACTGAAGAGACAGGCACAGTATGTGGAGAGGGAGGACACCAGACACTTGACTTCTCAGTTGGGACCTTGTTGATTCTTCATAGAGGACATTGGGAAACAGTTGCTATGGGCTTCCAGACCCACACAAGTAAGAAAGGCAAGGCCAGAGGTCAAAGCAAGCTTTGGCTGACTTCAGCAAAGAAGGAAAATGGAATCTGATTTCGCTCCCTCCTAAAACTCTTTACTCTTCTGTCTATTGTCCACAAACTCATCTTTCCCAGGATATCTGGGGCCAGGACATGGTGCTGTCCCCACAGTGGAACAGAGTCTGCTGCCCAAAAGCCTCTGGACTACTTGTCACAACCCAATGACTCATTGAGCAGGGGACACAGACTAAATTCATAGTAAACCCGAGGTTAGCCACACCCTGGTCTTCTTAGGAAATTCACAGTTGGGTAGTGGTGTTACCCTGCAAACCACCTTCTTACCCTGAAAATACCAAGGGACAGAGAGTACCCCAAATCATGTCCTCATGTCAACAAGCATCTTTTGCTGGGGCAAAGGCTGAGCTCAGAGAGGCTAAATGTTCTTGTTAATATTGAAGGAAGGACAGGGTCACTCACATCTGCTACACTCCACGACTGTGTTTATTTCCTCTGGTTGTCACAGACTTAGGGCCTCAGAACATCAGACATGAGAAGGTGTGACAACCTGTGCCTGTAATATTTACATTTGAAAGATTGGTACAAAAATGATTGCAAGGTTGAAGCCGGCATGAGCTTCATACTGATACCCTGTACCAAAGAACAAAATGTCAATAGCTGGGGAGATAGCTTAGTCAATAAAGCCTGACCACACAAGCATGAAGTCCCCAGCATCCACATGAAAAAGCTGGACATAGTGGCCAGTGCCGTAATCTTGATGCAGGAGAGGTGTAGTAGGTGGGTCCCTGGGGCTCTCTAGTCAGCCAGCCTGTCTAGCTTAATTGGTGAGTTACAGGTCCCAGTGAGTGACTCCACCTCAAAAGATAATGGAGATAATAACTGAAAAGGACACAAGGATGACCTACACACACATACAGGGGTGTACAAGCAGTGAGGAAGCCACTGGTACTGCTTTTTCATTATGGAATGAGCCTTTCAGCAGTGCAGCCCACAGAAAGAATGCACCATCCCACCCTCATCGTCTCAGAAGCTCCAAGTAGAGGGCATCCTGCTCTGAAGGATGCGTTCTGACACACTCTCATTCCACATGCAGTGTGGTATGGGCTATTGAACTTTGCATCTTGGTCTCATTGTGCCACACCAGGATAGTGGAAGTGCCTGGTGACTCCATCAGGTCCACTGAGCATACTCCTGTCTCTCCACCTACTAGCTTGTGGTCCTAGGAAGATGATGCAGTGCTCCCTGTCACCTTCCTCTCCATATAAGCTTTGGGGAAAGTACCTGGATGGCTCTACCTAGAGCGGCTTCAGTCAAAACTTCTAGAAGTCTAGTGCTCTTACATGGGATGGACTGTGGCTGCTCTTGGCTTAGGGAGTGCTTGGTCTCGTTTCCCTTTGTCCTTCCCCCCCCCCCCCCATTACTGGTTTTCACCTACAGGAAAATCCCAAGTAACATCTGATTAGCTGACCTGGGTCGCCCCTTATCCCTAAGCACTGGGCTCTCCTGCCCACCCTTGTGGTTCTAACTGACTAGAGTGCCTTCTTGTGAACTGGCTCAGATCTCCTCCCTGATAGTGAGAGCTGCGCATGCCCAGGAGCACTCAACTCCCGTTGGTTTACTGGAGTTGGTCAGGTTAGGAAAGGAAGAAGCAGGGCTGCTGCCAACTCTGCATCCAGCCCACTACCCTCCATATCACTGAGCTTGCCTGTCCCAAACTGCCATCTGACCATGTCACTTCCTCTGCTCTAGAAACCTCCCCAAGGTTGCAGACGCTGACGGATTTGCCCCAGAGTCGAAGTAGCTGCCACCTGGAGATTCCACAGCCATGAGTGGGTTTAACTTTGGAGGCACCGGGGCTCCTGCTGGTGGTTTTACATTTGGGACCGCAAAGACTGCGACCACCACGCCTGCCACTGGCTTTTCCTTCTCTGCTTCTGGCACCGGCACCGGAGGGTTTAATTTTGGGACTCCCTCCCAGCCAGCTGCGACCACCCCTTCCACCAGCCTCTTCTCACTCACCACACAGACCCCAACCACACAGACCCCAGGATTCAACTTTGGAACAACGCCTGCTTCTGGAGGAGCGGGCTTCTCCCTGGGGATCAACACCCCAAAGCTCAGCCTGAGTAACACAGCTGCCACACCAGCCACAGCCAACACTGGCAGCTTTGGGCTTGGCAGCAGCACCCTCACCAACGCCATCTCAAGTGCCAGCACCTCCAGCCAGGGGCCAGCCCCCACTGGCTTTGTCTTTGGCTCTTCTACCACCTCTGCGCCATCCACTGGCTCCACGGGGTTCTCATTCACCAGTGGCAATGCATCCCAGCCCGGAGTCTCTGGCTTCAGCATTGGCTCTGTGGGTAGCTCAGCCCAGCCCACAGCACTGTCTGGCTCTCCCTTCACTCCAGCCACTCTGGTGACCACTACAGCAGGAGCGACACAGCCAGCTGCTGCTGCACCCACTGCTGCCACCACCAGTGCAGGGTCTACACTCTTTGCTTCCATAGCTGCTGCTCCTGCCTCATCCAGTGCTACAGTGCTCTCCCTCTCAGCTCCGGTGACAACTGCAGCCACTCCTAGTTCTGGGACTTTGGGCTTCAGCCTCAAGGCCCCTGGAGCAGCTCCTGGCGCTTCCACCACCAGCACCACCACCACCACCACCACCACTACTACCACTGCCGCCGCCTCTACCACGACCACTGGCTTTGCCTTGAGCCTGAAACCCCTGGTGCCAGCTGGCCCCAGCACTGTGGCAGCTACTGCTCTGCCTGCCTCCAGCACGGTGGCTGGGACTACCCCAGGGCCAGCCATGACCTATGCACAGCTGGAGAGCCTGATCAACAAGTGGAGCCTGGAGCTGGAGGACCAGGAGCGGCACTTCCTGCAGCAGGCCACACAGGTCAATGCCTGGGACCGCACGCTGATTGAGAATGGGGAGAAGATCACCAGCCTGCACCGAGAGGTGGAAAAGGTGAAGTTGGATCAGAAGCGTTTGGACCAGGAGCTAGACTTTATCCTGTCACAGCAGAAGGAGCTGGAAGACCTTCTGAGCCCGTTGGAGGAGTCAGTGAAGGAGCAAAGTGGCACCATCTACCTTCAGCACGCTGATGAGGAGCGTGAGAAGACCTACAAGCTGGCTGAGAACATTGATGCTCAGCTCAAGCGCATGGCACAGGACCTCAAAGACATAATCGAGCACCTGAACATGGCTGGTGGCCCTGCCGACACCAGTGACCCGCTGCAACAGATCTGCAAGATCCTCAATGCACACATGGACTCTCTTCAGTGGGTGGACCAGAGCTCTGCCCTGCTGCAGAGGAGGGTGGAGGAGGCCAGCCGTGTGTGTGAGGGCCGGCGCAAGGAACAGGAGCGCAGCCTGCGCATTGCCTTTGACTAGCCACACATGAATGGGGGGGAGGGGCTCTTGGGTTTCAGGGCTGCTGGCTTTCCCGGTGGTTGTGTTGTTGAGAAAAATGTTCTTTGGTTTGATTCCCTGTTTTCAGAAGTGTTTTGCAAAGGCATGATGTTCATGGCTATAGCCTGTGTGCTCTGGAGACAGGGGAAGGTCATTGCTCTGGGCCAGCATTTAAAGAACAAGGGCAAGTGGTGAGTCCAGTGCTCCCTTGTACCATCAGCTCTCTTGTTGGCCGCACTCCTCCTTCAGCCACTCCAGTATGACTTGTGACCGTGGGATAGGGTGCTCCAGAGGAGATGCTGGCCGAGACACTCGCCTGGGATGGAGACATGGCTTCTGTGCTTCTCAACACCTGTCTAACCCCTGGCCTCCAGAGCCTCTGCCACACAAAGCAGAGTTACCAAGGCACACTGAGCTTCTAACACTGTAGCAATGGCTACCTCTCACCCATATCTCGTGAGCTTCTGTTGCAGGAACTGACTGCTGATATGTCTTCGATGCCAAAGTGGCTACAGACTTGTTTCTGAATATCCCAGTGTCAAACCTATGTCAGATCCACAGTTTTGAAGACCAGCAGTCTTGTCTGGTCTATTTTATTTCTCTGCACTCTACTGTAGCCTCGGTGGTCCCTGATCGAAATGTTGCTTTTCTAAATAAAGAGAAATTTGTGAAAGGAGACTTGCTGTGAATGTGGGTAGTGGGACCAAGATTTGGTGGGACAGGGTAGGACACTTAGCGTGATGATACTCCTGTGCCACCCGGTTGGAAGCGCTGGCTGGGTGAGCCACAGGGCCCAGTCTACCTTCATGGGGCGGGCAGGCTGCAAGTGCAAGAAGAGAGTCCTGACTACCAGTGTGCATAAGTGGTAAGTCATCCATTACCCCAATGGGTGCAGGCGTCACTGTAATGTTGTCAGCAATGGGAAACGGAATACTGGATCCAGATGCTGGGCTCACTCGGCTATAGGACTGGGGAACCCTGGACCAACAGTGGAGCCACAAGTTGTTTTCTTGGATCACGTTGATGAATGAGAAAGCTGGTGGTGGGTTGACGGCTAAAGAGGTAGTAGCTTGGGGGCTAAGAACACTGGTTGACTACTTTTCCAAGGACCCTTGTTTGATTCACAGCACTCACATGGTAGCTGTAATTCCAGTCCCAGGTTATCTGGTATCCTCTTCTGGGCTTCTTGGGTACTGTATGCACATAGTGCAGAGATACACATGTAGGCAGAGTCATAAAGTCTCAAAGAGTAAAAAGAACCCTAGTACTCCAGAGTTCCAGGTCATCTTCAGCTACATTGCTACATAACCCATAACCATATAGAGGCAGGGCCAGTAAACTGGGGTGGCGGGGGGGGGGGGCAAGTCCTGAGGACCCCGGTGGCCTTTCTGCAATATGGGACATTTCATTGGTTTAAGACAGGGTCCCTTACTCTAGCCCAAGTTCTTGAACTGGTGTGAACTTCCCTTACTTAACCACCCAAGCACTGAGACTGGCAAGACCACTCCAGCCCAGCCCTGTGATACTCCATGTCTTGACTCCCAGTTGATGATAATGCTTAGGCCTCAGGTCCTCTCAAACACACATTGGTCTTACATGGGTGTCATTGGCAGGCTCAAACAATAAAGACGATCAGTGTGCATGTTAATGTGTGTGCTCACCCGGGATTGTATATTGGACATAACGCTGAATTCTTCCATTTTGGAGGTAGGGGCTGCATGCATGCTAAGGGTGCACTCTGTCCCTGCATTACTACATCCTAGTGGCCATGTAGTTTGAAAACATTGACATTAAGCCCTGTTGTCTGCCCCACTTTGAAGAAAACAGACTAGATGTCTGTGCTGGGGGAATTGGGGAGGGCTGCCCAGAATGGCAGTGTTGTTGGCACCCTGTCGGGCATTGTTGCCCAGGTTACACTTACAATTGCAGTTTCCTTCTCCAGGAAGAACACAGGCAGATGCCTTGCTGATTGATCTCATCATTAAATCACCATGGAGACAGCAAAGGTGACTACATGGGGAGCCTATTCCACACCTCTCCCAGGACAGCCAAGGGCCAGCCTGTGACCCAGCCTGGCCTAGTGGGAAACTCAAGAAAAGAGGGGGGAGGGAGTGTAAAATGTCAAATAAGAGGAAGTTATGTCCATGTCACACTAAGGGATGAAAAGGCCAAGAGGGAGCTCAAGTTCACATCTCCACTTCTCTGTCTTTCCCTGTTGTCGGCCTGTATTGAGCAGCATAGAAAACACGGGATGGGGAAGGAATGAGTGATATATTTTGTTTCTGAGACCTGGTCTATATAGACGAAAGATCCACCTACCTTGGCCTTCTGGGTGCTAGGATTAAAGGCAAGTGCCACTGCCACCACTACCCAGCTACTGATAACGTTTTTGGTTTGCTTTTTGTTTTTTAACAGTATTCTATAAGTTTTCTTTCTTTTCTTTCCTTTTTTTTTTAAAGATTTATTTATTTATTATACACTGTAGCTGTCTTCAGACACACCAGAAGAGGGCATCAGATCTCATTACAGATGGTTGTCAGCTAGCATGTGGTTGCTGGGATTTGAACTCAGGACCTCTGGAAGTGCAGTCAGTGCTCTTAACCACTGAGCCATCTCTCCAGCCCCTCCTTTCCTTTTTGACATAGGGTTTCTCTGTGTAGCTCTGGCTGTCCTGGAACTCACTCTGTAGACCAGGCTGGCCTCGAACTCAGAAATCCGCTTGCCTCTGCCTCCCAAGTGCTGGGATTAAAGGTGTGCACCACCACCGCCCGGCTTGCCCTTTTTTTTTCCCCTAAAAGTTTTCTAGGAAATGTCAGAACAGCACTTGAAAACTGCACAAGGATGTGACCAATCTATGCACAAGCTATTTGTAGAATTCCTGGGATGTTTTAAGGTTGTTTTGAACCAGAATCAAACCCAGTCAATCTGGGTCCCAGGCCTTAAAGAGAACAATAACGTGTAGCTAAGTGTGCTTAAGTGACAACTGATTGGGTGGGGGAGCATGTCTACACAGGAAGGCTGGTTATTTTACTATCTTTAAGGACCAGTCAAATTTGAAGAGGCTGAGGGCAGTTTTAAAGGTCTCAGGGCAGTTACTGATTTGATTAAAGGGTCTGGCAAAAGTTCGGCTTCTGAAGGAGAGGCACTCCCAGAACAAGTGGTCCCACAGAAAGGAAGCGCTTCAAATAGTCATTGGTAAAATTCAATTGTAAATACTTTTTATTGTTTTTTTGCTTTTCAAGGCAGAGTTTCTCTGTGTAGCCCTGGCTGTCCTGGAACTCACTCTGTAGACCAGGCTGGCCTCGAACTCAGAAATCCGCCTGCCTCTGCCTCCCATGTGCTGGGATTAAAGGCGTGCACCACCACTGCCTGGCAATACTTTTGAAATGAGGTGCTGGCATCATAACACTGCACCACCACAACTGGTTTATATGATGCTGGGAATGGAACCCAAGTTTCGTGCATGCTAGACAAACACTGCCAACTGAACTATATCCGTAGCCTGTAAGTCATCTATGTGATGCATGCCTCCCCCTCCCCATATTTTTTGAGACGTGGCATATAGCCCTGACTGGTCTGGAACTCTATGTAGACCAAGCTAGCCTTGAAATCAGAGATCTGCTTGCCCCTGCGTCCAAGTGCTGGGTAGTTCCTATCTTGGAGGCTAGAAGTTGGCTGTCTGTAGCCTTACCTTCTGTTTGTCAGTAAAACTTTTTTGGAACACAGCCACAATAGTCCCTTATCAGAAAAGACAAGGTGAGCAGGGGGTGTGGTGGCATACCTGTTAGCCATAGTTTTAAGAGGCAAGGGCAGAAGAATGACCTTAATTTTGAGGATATCCTAGGCTATAGAGTGAGACCCTGTCTCAAACACACACACACACACACACACACACGCACGCACGCACGCAAAACAAAAATAGGCATTCTCTAGAAAATTCTGCCACAGCCTACCAACTGCTCTTCCTATCAGGACCTGGCTTCTTTGGCCTAACAAGGCAGTAGGAGAAAGCTATCACTACTCATCCTGGTTCTGCCTGTGCTTGAGGATGACTTCTGTTCCAGGCTGACCACAAAGGCCATGGGCGCCAGGAGAGCCCCCCAAAGACCAACATGCAGTAAGTGTCCCCTTTCTAGGGTGGGGAGACAGGGTGGAGGCCACAGCTGTTCTGTTCCTGTCCAGGCTTGGGTCACCCTACCTCTTCCTTTGGTAACAGTGAATTCAACCCACTAGACTTCAGACTGAAAGCTATGTAGTTAGGTCCCAGGGCCCCTCCCACCATCCCTGTCCCTAGGATTCTTGAGAGCCACTGCCTACCAGGATGTGGCCCAGACCTCATAGCACTGTTCCTATGGATCAGAAGCATGCCACAATGAGCAGGGGCTCCCCAAAGACCATTTCCACCTAAAAAGCCCATAATGAAGCTGGGTTTCCCAAAGCCAGCAGCAGCTGACAGGTGTGTGGCTATAACACAAATTACACTAGTGTCTGGGGTCCTGCCTTTGCCATAGGACACTTAGCCTTGCTTGCGCCTAAGCTTCTGATTCCTTTCCACATGTCCTGCCTTGTTCCCAGGACCTCAGCACAGCCAGAGAAGGACAGTCTATTCCAACCGTGCCCCAGTCCTCAGCATTCCTAACTTAGGTTCAATAATTCTGTTGGTACTAACATGGGATTTGGGAGTTTTAAATACTTATATTTTTGAGATAGGATCTCACTGTAGCCCAAGCTGGCCTTGAACTCCTGATGATGGGACTAGACTGGGATGACAAACACATGCGTGGCCATATATACCACAGCACTGAATGACCACACCACTGAATGACCAGCTTGGGATTTGGCAACAATACCCATTGTTTGCTCCTCAGAGCTCCCTAGGGCAACAGGACTATCTCCAATCTCCTCTGACGAGGGACCCAACAACTGTTCTCATGAGGCTAGAGGTGCTTCAAGGGTTAAGAACACTGGCTGTTCTTTCAGAGAACCAGGTTCTAATTCCCAAGACCTTCCTGGGGGCTCACAGCCATTGGTCACTTCCATGCCAGCCATCCCAATGTCCTTCTCTAGCCTCTTTGGGCAACTGATAGACACACATGCTACACAGACATTCATGAAGGTCAAAGACTCAACCACATCAGTGAATTTTTTTTTATCTTTTTTTATATGTGAATTTTTTTTAAAAAAAATCAAAGCTATGGTCCCCGTGTGCCAGGCCCTACCTTTACTCTTACCATGGCAACTTAAGGTTCTCTTATTGATGCTGAATGGAATCCAGAAGCTGAAGAAGAGCACTGGCAACAGATGCTGTCATTCTTGCATTCAGGGCACAAAGGCAGGAGTATCATAGGGAGTTTGAGGCCAGCCTGGTAAACAGAATGAAACCCTGACTATAAATAAATAAGCTGAAACATAATGGCAAACACCTTTAATCAAACCAGCACTCTGGTGGAAGGGGCAGTCAGATCTCTGAGTACCAGGACAGCCAGGGATACACAAAGAAACCATGTCTCGAAAAGCCAAAAAAATTCCAGGCTGTGATGCCCTGTTGCCTACCCACCCCCTCCCAGGACTTTCATTTGTTACTATTAAAGTGGGGTTGTTATTATAGTGTCAATTCCCCTGTAAGGTTGAGACCAAGTACTGTGCCAGGGTTCTGCTGACCTGGGGCCTCCAGCCTGCATGGCTTTGCACTTCTGGCCAGTTTGGCCCAGGCCACAGAGCATACACATACACCGACTACCATCCCTTTAATGGGCTCTGGAGTTCCCCAGTCTGCTGTCTCTGTGATTTCCCGCCCTAGCTGTTCTCCTAACCCATCTTTCCCCAGCCCCAAGGAAAACCCCCTGCATCCTGTTGCCTCACCTCACCAGTTTTGGGTAACCCTGGTGTCATCTGCTCATGGCCTCCTGCAAGCCAGAGACAGAGGCTTCTAGGGTCATTTCTCTGAGGTGTCAGTCCAAAGTCTGCTGCCCAGCAGTTCTTAAGACAAAGCAAGAAGGACAGGTGGCCACTCAGCCATCACCAACTAGTCCTCCCCATGTTTCTACAGCTGCAGCAGCAGGTTCTGGACCTGGCCAGGTGCTATGTGCAAGCCCTGACCTGACTCCATTCCTGCCATTTTGTGCTGGACCATGTGACATTAGCAGACCTATATGGACTTTGAATGTGTAAGACCCTATCCCAAGAGCTGAGGGCCCAGGCTTGTGTGTGCCCATTTGATACAGTTGGAGACAGGCCTGGAGAGATGGGAGGGATGGGCAGACCCAAGACAAAAGTCCAAGAAGCCTAGAGCACCGGGTCCACCATCAACAATGCCACCTGGATGGGTAGTCCCCACCTCCAGCTTCCCCAAAGCTATTTGGAGCAGGAGGAAGAAAAGTAGACTGTGTTACTTCCTCCTGCCATCCTCTTCCACCACCTCCCCCAGCATCTGACCCTAGCTCAGGAAAGCACTTTTAATTCCCCAGGGAGGTGAGTGGGCGGGGCTGGCTGCTTTTAAGGGGAGAATTGCAGAGGTTCTGCTCTGCTGTCCTGTGCAAGAGAGCTGGAGGTAGAGCTACATGGAGGGTGGTGGCAGTCACTTTACCCCAGAACCCAGGGCTGGGAAGCAGGAGGGGGTGGGGAGAGTTAGGCCAGATGTTGGAAGAATGCTCCCAGGCTCTCTGAAGGATCAAGATTAGGTCTAGGGAAACACATGGCCAGAGAGGAAGGAGGGAGACAGGCTGGGGATCCCTGGCCCTACCACGTTGACCCCCAACTTCTTCACTCAGACAGCAGCTTCCACTTGAGCCATGGCTGGGCTGGGTAAGTGAGCAACCAACAGGAGGAGGGGGTGCTGGGATGAAAGCTGACTCCTGCAGTCCTGCTGCCAGAGCGCTGACCCTGTCCTTTTGCCAGCCCAGTGTCTTGTCCTGGCGGCCACCCTCCTTGGTCTGGCAGTCTCTCTGGACTGGAAGGCAGCCTCCAGCCTGAACCCCATCGAGAAGTGTATGGAGGACCACGATTATGAGCAGCTTCTCAAGGTGGTAACCTTGGGCCTCAATCGGACTTTGAAGCCCCTGAAGGTGATAGTGGTTGGCGCAGGCGTAGCTGGGCTCGTAGCAGCCAAGGTGCTCAGTGAGGCAGGACACAAGGTGAGAAGTGCTGCCTGCAGTCTACAGGGAGCCGTTCCTGCTGCCTGCCAGTGGGGAGTCCTGGGTAGTGGGAGGTGGAGAAGCTACTCTTCCTCAGAGCCCCCACTTCATTGACCCACTGCACTCCACTTCCCCCCATCCTGGAGGGAAGGCCTACTTCTTTTTCTTAATGTAATTGTCAAGAGTCAAGACAGGGATTTGGGGCAAGGGGACTGAGAAATCCTCAAGGGGAAGTATCCCCTTACCTAACCCCAAGAATGAGAATGGGCCAGCCCCAAGTTTTCTGTACAAACTAGGAAATCTCCTTCCTTAAGGTGGGAAGTCCCTCTACAGTCCATCTGGTAGTCTTCCTGTTACAGTCTTGAAATCTTACTTCCTGTTATCCTAGCAGCCCGTTGTACCCGGAAGAAAAGTCCTTCTAGTCTAGGTGTGCCTCACTATGAGAAGCAGGCCAGGAGCTAGCGTGAATGGAGTGAGGGTGCTGAGGTCCCTGTTTGCCCCTCATCTTTAGATCACCGTCCTGGAAGCAGATACCAGGATTGGGGGCCGTATCTTCACTTTCCGAGATGAGAAGACAGGCTGGATAGGGGAGCTTGGGGCCATGCGAATGCCCAGCTCCCACAGGTGAGGTCCCTCCCACCCAGGCAGCAGAGCCCCACCTCTGCACCAAGGTTTAGCCAGAGCCCAGTTCCATACCCACTCCCATATTCCACCAACTCCCATCCCAGATTCAGGATCAGCCAATTCCAGCCTCATTCTCGGTCTGGGCTCCACCAGAAGCCAGCTCTGTCCCCAGTCCAGGCACAAATATCTTTGTTTTGAGGTTCTGCTTCTGGAACCTTGGGCTTCAAACTACACCTCCAACTCATCTTGAGTGTCACCCATATTCCCACCCAGTCAAAAGTTGGGTCTAGACCTCACTCTCTCACATTCCTCAGTACTGCCTTCTGGAGGGCTGGGGTGATCACTCTCTACCTGATCAGTTCCCTAGCCTGCAGGCTGCCTGAGCTCTGCCCCTATTCCTACCACCAGCTCCTGAGCCAGCAGCCAGCAGGTCCCCAGTGAGTAGCTTGATGCCCATTTCCAGTGGCCCCTCCTGTGGTGCCAGGCCAGGCCTCTCTCAAGCAGCCTCCCACTTCCAGGATCTTGCACAAGCTCTGCAGGAGCCTGGGCCTCAACCTGACTCAGTTCACACAGTATGATGAGAACGCGTGGACGGAGGTGAATGGTGTGAAGCTGCGAAACTATGTGGTGGAGAAGATGCCAGAAAAGTTGGGCTACAACCTGAGCCACAGAGAAAGGGGTCATTCCCCAGAAGACATCTACCAGATGGCACTCATCAAGGTGGCCACCAGCTTTCCTGCTGTGCTCAGCCCTGCCCCCAAGAGTCTTGCCTCTATTCTACACATCTGCTGATGGCTAGCTGGTGTTTTCTACATCCCTCCAGCTCACCCACTACTGTAGCCCCTGGCACTTGCAGAACCCTCCAGCAATAGTGCTAATCTGTGTCCCCATCTGGTTGCCTCAGACAGTGCTGTCAGATATCAGCCTCTTCCTATCCCGAAGGGATCTTTCCAACCAGATGACCCTGCCCACAACTCCATGTAGCTCCCAAGTGCCTCTCAGGCCCATGGGCCAGACCTGCCAAATAGCTTCCCCTCCCCTTAGTCCAGCTGGCGATCCAGGCATACCCTCCTCTGCTCCTGGAACCCGACCTTCCTCATCCATCACCCCTAAGTGTGTATCCTCGATGTCTCTCTACCTTCCACCTCACCCATGACAAGGAGGTCTGGGTAAAGAGGCTGGAGGTCATGTTTGGAGCTCAAAGATCACTAATTGACAGGAGAGCCTGCATGCCGTGGGGGAGGTGGCCCTGCTCTCCATACTTTACAACTACAACTGCCTTCTGCAAGAAAGGGTGACTGAGGCCGCCAGAGGGTCGGGGTGGGGCTCTAGTGTTTCCTCCTGGGGCTGGGGAGGGAGCTAAGGAAAGCTATGGATGAAAGGGGACTTTGCTGAGTAGGCTCTGCTAGTAGCAGCGCCCTCTTGTGGTGTAAGATGCCCTCACCTGCTTGTGTCCACAGTGGTCTAGACACAATGATCTCTACCGGCTCACACTCACTGGTCTGCACAAAAACACAGGCTCCTGCTGACTGGGTGGGCAGACAGGGAAATCCAGTATTTGGAGGACTCGCAGCTTCAGAGGAGGTGCATGTATCATGAGCGAATACCTGGGACTTGAAGTGAGGTGAATTGCTGTTCCTGCTGCAGCCAGGGTCCTCTGATTGTCCCCACAGGCCTACAAAGACCTCAAGGCCTTGGGCTGCAAGAAAGCCATGCATAAATTCAACAAGCATACGCTCCTGGTGAGTGAGGCAAGGCAGTCTCCCTCTCCAGTCACAAAAGACAGTTGTGATACAGGGCTCAGCAGGAAAGAAGGGTCTGATTAGTGCCCCTGCCTACTGTACAGGAGTACCTCCTCAAGGAGGGCAACCTGTCCCGGCCGGCTGTGCAGCTCTTGGGAGATGTGATGTCCAAGGAGGGCTTCTTCTACCTCAGCTTTGCAGAGGCATTACGTGCGCATGCTTGCCTGAGCGATCGACTACGGTGAGGGCGCACGGATAGGGGAAGCTACAAGGCGGGGCATCCTGGGAGGGGACAGGGCCTTAAGAGCTGGAGCTCGGCTGGGGTCAGCGTGCCCGCCCTTCTTTTCCCTGCCCTGTAGGTACAGCCGAATCGTGGGTGGCTGGGACCTGCTTCCGCGAGCGCTCCTGAGCTCGCTGTCGGGGCCGGTGCTGCTGAACGCGCCTGTGGTGTCGATCACTCAGGGGAGGCACGATGTGCATGTGCACGTTGCCACCTCGCTGCGGCCTCACAGCTTGAAGACGCTGACGGCGGACGTGGTGCTGTTGACTGCCAGTGGGCCCGCGCTGCAGCGCATCACCTTCTCGCCGCCGCTGACTCGCAAGAGGCAGGAGGCACTACGCGCGCTTCACTACGTGGCAGCCAGCAAGGTTTTTCTAAGTTTCCGTCGGCCTTTCTGGCACGAGGACCACATCGAGGGCGGCCACTCCAACACTGACCGCCCATCGCGCCTCATATTCTATCCGGCGCGGGGCGAGGGCTCACTGCTTCTGGCCTCGTACACGTGGTCGGACGCTGCAGCCCCCTTCGCTGGACTGAGCACCGAGCAGACCCTGCGTTTGGTGCTCAAGGACATGGCGGCCCTGCACGGGCCTGTGGTGTACCGGCTGTGGGACGGCAGGGGTGTGGTCAAGCGCTGGGCCGAGGACCCGCATAGCCAGGGAGGCTTCGTGGTGCAGCCGCCATCGTTTGGGCAAGGGGCCGAGAACTATGACTGGTCAGCCCCCTACGGCCGCATTTACTTCGCAGGCGAGCACACAGCTCTCCCTCATGGCTGGGTAGAGACCGCTGTCAAGTCCGGGTTGCGGGCCGCGGTGAGGATCAATAATAACTATGGGTACGGGGTGCTCGACCCCGAGATTTCAGAGTATGCACATGCAGAGGTCAGCTCCGCAAAAGACGGCTTCCAGTATCTGGAAGGAGACCAGCTGGAGGAGCAGCAGGTGCCGGAAGACGTCAGCCCCGAGGGGCAGGAGCCCTCAAAGAAGCACTTCTTGGTGGAAACAAGCCCCGAAGGGCAGCAACACGTGTTCATGGAGGCCATACCGGAGCTGCGGGGACACGTGTTCGTGGAGACTATCCCCCAGGAGATGGGGCATGTGCACCAGAATATATATCCTTCGGAGCGTGTGCATGGGGAAGTCATCCCAGAATTACAAGGGCATGTGGGACCTAGCACCCCGCAGCATATGCACCAAGAGGCGGACCACTCTTAATTTTGTGCAAAGGGGAATTGGGCACCCAGCTCCTAACCAGCCCTCTTCAGGGCAGACAGACCACCTACAATAATAGCCCACAATAAAGTTATTTTTGTTAAACCAGAGGCTCACTTCCCTCCCAACTGCTCTGGTTTCCTGAATATAGCTGCCCTGGGTGGGGCGACACGAGTAAACGAACACTACTGTGGTCAAGAGATCAGAAGTCATTGGAGGCTGGGGTGCTGACAGATCCTGACTAGAACAAAAACCTGGCAGCCTTGCGACAGGCCTGGGCTAAAAGCGAGACGGGAAAAGCAAAGCGTCCTGATGCCAGCATAGTCAACCAAGAACGGTTTATTGCCTCACATTGGCAGCAGCTGGTGGGCGGGCACTCGGGAATCCCGGACCTCCAGGAGGACCTTCCTCCATTTCATTGGCCGGCTCACGGTCTCACTTTCTCCAGGCCTCCTCCATGGACATGGAGCTCAGGACCTGGCAATCTGCGGGAACCGGGTCAGATGCACTGGGCAACGAGTCAGGCACCATCCTCGTCCTCAGGCAGAATCTCCAGACTGCTGTCAGGCTGCGGGACCACTTCCTCAGGTGGCGGCGGAGGCAATGGGGCCCGAGTGGGTGATAAGGGCATTGGAGATACCGGAGGAGATGGGCTACTAGGCTCTTCTGGCTGTGCCAGCCCCAGGATCTCCTGCACATTGTGTGGCAGCTCCTGTGGGGGGAGGGGTGGTCCAAGAGGCTAGTTGATGGGTGAGGGTAGAGTCAGGAGGAGGAGGAGGAGGAGGAGGAGGAGGAGGAGGAGGAGGAGGAGAAGGAGACCTTGGCTGGAGAGCCATGGGGTTTTTCGGGAAAGAACTAAAGACTCACTGGGCAGGCGCTCAGCTGCCTGTACAGAGCCTCTGCCCGGGTAAGCACATCCTCCACGCTCAACTTCATGGTCAGTTCATTGATGTGCTGTGGGAAAGGGAAGGTCAAGTCCATGCCTGTACTCTGGTGATGGACAGAAGCAGAGTGGTGCTAGGGGTATAGGGCCCAGCTAGGGGAGGCCTTCAGGAATCCCAGCCTGCCACAACAGCACTCCCTGCTAGCACTCCTGAATGCGGAGCACAGTAGGAAGAGCCCTCCGTAGGGGAGGGGCAGGGAGGGGCAGGCTCCACTACTTCACTGCTCTATAGGTACAGTGGGGAAAACAAATAGTTCCAACCCCACCCAAAGTGATCAACAGTCAATCCCAGGGCTAGCACTGCCCACTGCAGGTGGACAGACCTGGAGGTGGGAAGTGCCCTCACTCCCAGGGCTAGCACCGCCCACTGCAGGAGGACAGACTAGGAGGTGGGAAGTGCCCTCACCCACCTTAAGGATCTCGTTGGACCCAAAGCCAGACAGCATCAGAGTATCCCGTTCCATGTCCAAGATGGCACAGGCCACCAGCAGGTGCAGATTGGGGCCAGGAAGCCCAGTCCAGAGCACCTGGGGTGTCAGAAGGAACCCCTAAAGCCCCATCCTGACCTGCCCATCTGCCTTCAACCTCCCAGCCCTTCTACTAGCCCTCTGACCCCAACTGGCTGCCCACCTCCCACAGCCGAAGGACATCAGGAAAGGGAAATTCCCTCTTGAACCAGATGAGCAGCCACCGGAAACAGAAGCACAGCGAGCCTGAGTCCTGAGAATCTAGAAGAGGACCGCAGGCAGTCAGCCTTGCCCACAGCGAGTGACGGAGCTACAGCCCAGATGTGCCAAGCAGTGGGACAGGCATGACTACACACATGAATTTTCCTGCTATATGCAGTGCCACCATTCACTCCCTACCCACTGAGCCATAGCCCCTTCTGCATTTCTCATATTCAACAAGCAACAAGGAACTTAGCTAGAAAGCAGTGGCCCTACAAGGGTCTAGAGAAACCTCACCTGGCCCAAGATGGGCAGGTTTCCCCATCCCCTAGGCTTTGTATGCCAGGTTTCTTGGGATGTTTTTCTCATTTACACAGGACCTACCCAGGAAATCACAGAGTGGCTGATCCAGCACCCGCAGAAGCAGCAAGAGCTGCCCAAGTTGTCGCTTCATAGTCTCCTGACTCTCTTCAAAGTTCCCATGCTGCAGAGCAGGAGGTAAGCGTGAGGGCAAAGTGCAGACTGGACACCTTAGTGGCTGTCCCTGACCACTCCCTCTCTCCTATCCTCGCCTCACCACAAGTTCCATGAAGCCACAGAAACACCAGAAAGCATCTACTTCATTCTGAACAACGAAGAGGATCGGGGACAGGAGGTCACTCATGCCCTGAACGTAGCCTGAAGGAACACAGGGTCAGCTGCAACACCTTGAGCACCCGGAGCCCTTAGCCCGCTCCCCATCAGTGCAGTGCTCACCCAAGTCAAAGTGGTACATGCAGTAGGTAAGAAGAATGTCATGGAGCAGGCCCAGGCCTGGGTTCTCAGGGCCTTCGTAGAACTTGTTAGTCCTGTCAGTGCGGCTTACATCTCTCTCTGTGGGAGTCCATCATAGCAGGAACATGAAAAAGGTCAGTAGGCCTCCTGGCTAGTCAGAGGTAGCAGTGCTACTTCCCTGTATGCTGGCAGCCCTCAGCTGCAGGGCTCATGCTAGGGTGAGGATGGGGCTTCCCCCAATCTCCAAGTAAGAGCTGACAACGCCCCAAGACTTCTTCCCCTGCCCTGCCCTCCCCCACTGCAGCCCACCCGCACCCCAACTCCCACCCACCAATGAGGCTTCGGTATCCATGCAGCAGTGAGTTCCTCCGCTCCTGCTCAGGGCTCACAGACTTCCACTGCAGCTTCATCCGGAAGTACTCATCCCTGAGTAGCAAGGCACGCGGAAGCTGTGGCCCCTGCCATCACAGCACCCAGGGGACACCTGGAAACACTTGCCCACACCATCACTCCTCACACCCTGTTCTGCCCTCTCCCTTTCCTCTCTCCCCGATGTTTCTCTGCATAGAACACCCCGTGGCCTTCCGGTAATATGTGTCACCACCCCTCTCTCTGCTGGAAAAGCATGCCCAGGGCATTAAGGCACCTCAGGTCCTCACAAGGGGCCAGACACAGCATATGCATGACACCCACAGGAAGGATCCAACACCCACTGCAAAGCTGTAAGAACTGCAACAGTACATCACTGGAGTGAGGGGCACCTTGTCAGGAGGCAGCCACACGAATGGTCACTGCATATAGTGTCTCCAAACCAGCATTTGTGGAAGAAGCCCCAATACAGCGTACACTAGTCCTACAAAACAGTAGGGGGCTGGTGCTGGCTGCAGGACACCATGATCTTGAAGACTGGGAGAATGTCAAGCCCTAGGGCTGAGACAGCCAAAGGATGTAAGAGCCACACTTTCTCACTCACGTTTTCTTCCGCACGTGGGCTTTGTGTTCTTCAGCTGAACTGTCCCAGCTAAGGTACCCAAGAAGGAACTTCCAAGCCTCCCGCCGAAGGCCAGGGCTGAGACCCTGAAGGTATAGTGGAGCAACAGGTCAGAGGGCTTCCTCCTAGCCGTCTACCAACCCATCCTAGCCTACAGCCACTGACACTCACCCCTGAGAAGATTCTATTTTTCAACTCAGGGACATGCTGCAGGCGACCCTCAGGACCCACATGGCAGTTCCATTCTTCCTCTGTGACTGGAGGAGCACGCTCGACTGTGGGGCGCTGCCCTAGCTCCACCTGCAGGACACAGGGCAGGTGAGTCCTAACTGGGCAGGGGAGGAACCCTAAAGACCAAGGATAGATAACACCTTCTTCTCTGGCCAGCAGGAAGCTTCTAAGAAAGGCACCTGAAAGCCACAGCCTCAGCCAGGCCTGAGGCAAGAGGACCACACGGTAAGAGGCCAGGCTAGAAACTGGAGACATCCAGTCTCAGAAACGGCTGGGAAACTAGTTCAGTAGGGGAGTGCTGCTCCAGATCAACAGTACGGGGCTGGAGATGTGGCTCAGTGGTAGAGCATCTGCCTAGCATGAAAGATCCCCAAGGTTGGACATCCTCAGCAAGGAAAAACATCCCCCAGAAATACCAGGCAGCTGGCCCAGCATATAAAAGTGACTTCTTTTTTGGAGTTTTGGGGCTTTTTATGTTTTTCGAGACACAGTTTCTCTGTGTAGCACTGGCTGTCCTGAAACTCACTCTGTAGACCAGGCTGGCCTACACAGAACTCACAGAGATCCACCTGCCTCTGCCTCCCAAGTGCTGGGATTAAAGGATGTGCCACCTCAACCCTGTGTGAAGTCACTTGTTAAGCAGCTCCATATACTGCTTCCATGTCACCAAGGAGAAAACGGAGGCCTTGAAGCCTGTGAGGCACAACAGAAAGTCTCACACAGGATCACTTGACACTCACGCAAGAGATGACCTCAAAGCCAGGCTCTGGCTCATCATCTGGTAGAGGGGGTAGGTCAGGGGAGGAGGTGCCCTCAGGGTGCGGCTGTAGGGCTCCCCGGAAGAAGTTGGTCACTCGAGAGAAGCTACTGAAGGTGGTGGAGTAGGGGTCCTGAAGGAAACGCTGGGGACAGACAACAGGTATCAGAGCTGTTCCTCTGGATCTCACCCATCACACCCACACACGCCCTGCATCTGCTCCAGGGACACTCACAGACACTACATTGGAGCTGTCCTGATCGAAGAGCTGCAGGTGCTGGAAGGAGTCGGAGAGGGCGGAGGGGTCCTGGGGGAAGACCAAGTAGAGGCGGGCGTCCTGTGGAGAGCTAGGAGGAAGGTGGCACATAGGCAGCTACGGTGAAGGGCCCCGTTGTACTAGGCTAGCCTGGCGGCTGCAGTGAAAAGCCCCATTGTACTGGGCTAGCCTGGCCATGCTTACTCCTCCAGGTGCTGTAATCCCTTTCCTAATTAATGAAATGCTACTACAGGGAAAAGCCCAGACCAGAACTGGACCTTGGAGGCCAATGAGGCCTTTACACTTCTGGACCAGGTTGACTGACTCAGGGAGGTGCCAATGAGTGAGCTTCTAGGCATGAAAAGACACTTCCTGTGTATCAGGAGACTACTACTTAAGTCCCATAAAGATGGGTCAGTTCTTCCCTCTCTGTCCTCACTTTCAGTCTCATGTAGCCCACATTGGCCTTGAGAGCCCTCCTGTCCCAGCCCTCCAAGCACTGGGATTGCAAAGAGATGTCCCTGGATCTTCTTAGCACCTTCCACCAGAACTGTGCTTTGATCATTGTCCTGAAGTCTCCAGTTGCAGCTGCAGAAGAACATGCTGGCTCACAGGTCCAGCTCAGGCAGAAGCTTACCTGGCCAACAGCAGGTAGCGGCTAAGGACTCGGAGCAGGGCCCGGGTACCCCCTCTGTGGAAGTGCAAGGCAGGCAGGGAGCCTCCGGCCTGTGTCACAAGGACCAGGTAGGCCCAGCTGAGGCCTGGCTTGGATCTGCGGATGGACTTGAGCTCCCCCAGGCTCACAGAGAAGGCCCAGGAGCTCCGGGGGGAACTGGGCTCTGCACCTGGGAGGAAGCAGAGTTATTGGTGCAGTGAGAGAGATGAAGGGTGTGCAGGCCAACTCAGTGTAATCAACAGCCTTGTGTTCGGAGGCCTTGATGGAAGCTACATTCCCCCAGGCCTCTGAGGATTCTGGGTTACTTGGCACTTCCTTAGAAGTAAAACTGCCTATAATCGGAAAGAAGCCTGGTGGGCCATGTGTCTGTCCCAGAATGTTCCAGAACCTTCTGTCTGAAGACTATATTCCTCTGCTTGGCACTAAAAGACAAATCTGCCCCTAGTCCTCTGACTGTCTCACCTCTAGTGGCCTCTTTGCTCCAAGTTCCTACTTGAGCCACAACAAAAGGTTTAGAAGCTGAGCATGGTGACCCACACCTTTGAGCCCAGTACTTGACAGGAAGAGGCAGGCAAAACTGAATTCAAGGCCAGCTAAGGCTACAAAGTGAGGCTACAGAGTGAGACCACATCTTTAAAACAAGAAGGAAAAAGAAAGAAATTACCCTGTAGTTAGCTGTTTGTCAGCCCTTCCACAACCCACAAACCTGGAAACCTTTAGGAGGACAACTCACTGGAAACACCCAGAGCCAAGCCAAGCCATTCTTTCCTAGGCCAGAAAGGAAGTATTTGGAAGCCATGTTGACTATGGGCAAGAAAGCCATTGGAACCATGATCATGAAGGTTCAACTACGGTCCCCTAGACCACCATGGAAGTTTCACCTACCTCTCCTGGGCTCTGCCAGGTGGGGCCGTGACCGCACTGTGCTAATGACAGCCCAGTCAGGTTCATAGCCTGGATCAAAGGTAGGTTCCTCCTCTGAGGTGCTGGGCTCACCTCCACTTGCGTCCTTGGGAGAAGAAATAACAGAATGAAGATCTGTGGTCTCTAGGGTTTTCACTTTGGAGCCTGCAAGCCCCAGTGAGAAAGGGAGCTTCAGAACAAGGAGGGAAAGAGGCAAGAGGGGTAGAAAGCCTGCTCAGTGTCAGCTATGGTGGCTGACAGAGAGCCAGGCTAGAACCCTACATTCATGGGTTCAAGAGGCAACTGCTGCATAGGTAATTGCTCAGAGACCACCTGCAGTCACAAGACCAATAAATATTCAGTCCTGACTTCAGTGACAAAGGACAGGCTCACACCCCTGCTCTCAGCCCTTTCTGTGTTTTTGTCAGGGTTCCTTCTGTGTTTTTTTTGACTTTTCACTGTAAATGAATGAAGAGCTTCAAGTGGTGGCCATTGTCATTGTAACTAGCTGTGAGTCTCCAGGGGGGCACTGATGATGGACAGATAGGGGATACCATTGTGCAGGACCAGACAGATGGCTCAACAGGTAAGACAGATGACCCGAGCGCAGTCCACAGAACCCACAAGGAGAAGTGAATGACTCCTCCAAGTATGAATAAGTCAGTCAGATAAGGCCCGAAGGATAGTTTAGTGCTTAACAAGGTTTGCTGTACAATCCGAGACCAGATCCCGGCACCCACATAGCATCCCAAGCTCCAGCATGTCTGTAGTGCCGTCTTCTGCACGAGCTCACATGTAGTCCACACACATGATCAGACACTCATACCACCTCCACCCACCCCTCACAAACTAAATCTCTGAGCTTAGTGAGATGGCTCAGCACCTGCTGCCCAAACCGACAACCTGAGTTCAATCCCTGGGGCCCACTTGGTGGAAGGAGAGAACGGCTCCCACAGGTTATCCTCTGACCTCCACACACCCACACCATGGCATGTGAATGCACGCACACACAATAAATGGAACAAACGTGAAGCAAACCGTTGAAACTGTAGAACCAAGGGGAAAGAAAGCTACCTCAGACCAAAACTAGGCTATACCCCTTAAGAAATTTGAACCTAGTCTTTCACACAGCAGGGACCCCTAAGGAGCCAAGAGGATATGGGGTTAGATCATTTCACAAAGCAAACAGGCTTACAGGTCCCCCAAGTACTTCCCCACTAGGGTGGGGAAGAGGAGCTGGGCGCCTACCTTCTTGGAGAAGAGAATCTGCGTTGGGTCTCCAGCCTCCTCCACCGGAGCCCAGTGCAGGAGGACGTCGCTGTCCTGAGGGACATGGGGAAGACTTGGTAGAGTCATCCGAATGCCCCTTGGCCCTCAATTCGAAGTTCCCACACATGCCACCTCCATCCCCGCCCACCTTCTCCACCACTCGAATGATGCCTGCGATGAGCGAGTCCGGATCCTGGTGCTTCCGGGCGCTGGTGTGCAGGTACACGCCTCCCTTCTCAAACACCACCTGGAGAAAGCCAAGGGTCTAGGGAGGCGTTTCCCGAGCGGGCGGGGTCTAGAGACCCTGACTGACAAGCTAAGATGGGGCGTGGCAATCCTACAGTCCCGCCTCGCACTCCGGATGGGCGTGCATTTCCCCAGGGGGCGGGGCTAAGGTAGAAGCTCCCTAAGGACCGTGGAGAGTGACTTCTCTTTACTAGGAGACGGTGTTTGCCAAGTTGACTCTGCCTAGTCCCTGCACAGCAAAAGGTGGAAGCCGACCACCAGTGGGGGGCGTCTCCTATAGATAAGCGAGGGAATGATTTCCGAAGTCTTACCCTGTAGCTGGATCCTTCCATTGCCGCCGCGGAGGTTCCACTGCCCCGATCTCCTCCTTTTCCGGGTCAACTTGGTGTCATATCCGGAAAAGAACACTCCCTTCCAGGCCAGATAGTGGTAGGGTCCCTAAAGTTGTAGAGCTGCAGTGGGTGAAACCATCTGTTCTCAACAGGGTAGTTAAAATGCTAACATTTAGGTCACGTGTAGTAGACTGCATAGTTGGCAAGGGTCAGCGGGATGGCGCAGGCGCAGTGCGACATTCTCGCCACGAAGTAAACAAGTAGGCGGACCCATGTTCGCAACCCAACTCGTGATCGCTCGGGAACGCCTCCTTGGCCCTCTCCATATTTTATACTGGCATCGAAGCCAATACTATGCCGTTTTTCTCGAGGACAAACCATAGCGGCTTGGTGGAAGCCATGTTAATGCGGGGCACTACCATCTCTTTGCGGGGCACGACGGCGAGGTGTTGGAAAAGCGAAACGGAGAAAGGGAAAGGTGAGAGAAGCTGTCTAGCACCAGAGGCGCTGAGGGGCTCGGGATAAAACGTGAAGCCGGCAGTGCTTGTACTCCTGGAAACAAAGCTGCCCCAAATTCCTGAGTCACCGTGGAAAGAGGGCTGCACCACCATTTTGAAACTGGGCAAACCGAAGCAAGAAATGCTGCCATATTGAATCCTTGCCAGCTTTGTGCTAAAGGGAGCGAGCGAGGGCCTAGGGGAGGAGGTGTAGAGTTTGGACGGAAGGAAGAGTCCATATGCTTTATAGGCATATGAAGCCATACTGACTGCCACGTCGGGACGGAGCAGTTTTCCTCCACTTCTGTGTTAGAAGTTGATTACGAACGAGGGACGTCATGCCGCTTGCCTTCGCTTGTGTGAGCATGGGCATGCAGTCTTATTTGTTGCGGGTAAATTCCAAAGAGTAGCTAAAGTCTTTTGCCATATTTTCCATCCGTGAGCACTCTCGCTGTTGCTATTGCTCACAGCTCGCCGACGTAGCTTCTGGTTGCTATTTTGATTTGAGGCATACCGGATAAGGGAGGCGGAGTGTACACAATGGAGGAGGGGCTACCACACGGAAGTGACGCAAGAAGCCGCCATGCCTTTTGAGGGCGGTGACGGCGCCTAGCCGGCCATGCTGGCTACGGGCACGTGAGTGGAGGCGGCGTTGTGAGCTGGGGTTTGGGGAGGGTCTGGCCTTCCTGAGGTTGAGGGGCAGTGGGAGGGCGAGCTGCCATGGGAAGGGTATGGTCTGCATTAGTCAGGGGGCAGCGATCGTCCTGCGACCCTTGGCTGACTGCTGAAATGGCTAACGCTCAACCCCATGTGTCTGACTCGCGACGAATTGTAGACGAGCGTCAGTCCGGGGGTGCAGACGGGCTGGAATCCTCACACCGGCGGTGAACCATATCCATATGGCTGTGTGTGTTGGGGGTCGCGGATGGGCGAGGGGGCGCCCCGGGCGGGACTTCCGGTCCCGATCTTCACCGGGGGCGGGATTTCCTGTTTTCTTCCTAGAGAAGGGGCCTCGCTGGTCTGCGGGCGTGGTGTAGCCCGGGTCGGCGGCTTGACTTCGGTGGTAGGCTCCTTCTTGGACCCTTCCGTGTCCCGTGCTGCAGCCGTTTTCTTTTCTGTCTCCCTCCACACCAGTCCTGGGAGGCCTGCACCTTCCCGCTGGACAGCTCCCCCTTTCTGGTTTGCCCCCTGAGTCTCACCTCATAGGCGGCCACAGGCCTAGGAGGTTTGAGTAAGTTGCCCTCCTTTCAGCCGCCTTCACAAGCCACTCACACGGTAACACACTGCTGCTGTGGCTACCCCCGAGATCTAGTGCAAAGGAGCTAGGTCTTGCCATAACTTACCCTCTCATAGTCTCACGGAAGTGAGAACCGAAGCTGTGCCATCTTGGACCAGTCACTTTCTTGCCCTTAGCCATAACCGTAAACTTCCAGCCGTCTTCATTAGCTAGGAAAGGTGGAAGGTGTGTGTAGGAGTCGCTGGCCACCCTTTAAAGCTGTAGGTAGGACTTTGAGGCCCAGCAGACAACAGTGTCAAACCACTACAGCGGAAAGATAGGGTGGAGAATATAGTCTGCTGAGGTAGGCAGCATGGAGCTCAGGATTGGCAGAAGGCTCTAGACACAGACTACCCTTCTCAGTGGTCATTAGTAGAACAGTCAGGAGCCCATCTTCCTGGGTTCAGAGTTAAGACTGTAACATGGGGTGCCCATTGCTGATTCATGTTGGAAGTGAGAGGTTGCTTAGGAGTAGTGATCGTCTTCTGGTCCAGCATATGAGTAGTTCCCACTTCGGTGAGTCAGGTGAAGGGGAGGAGAGTTTAGAGTCTGTGAGCAGACTGGCTCTTTTAAGTGTGAGTGACAGGAGCTTGCAAATTGTGTTTGTATTTCTGTTTCTCTTCACTACGGTCCTGGTGGGTTTGAGTCCCTCTGGTGACGAGGTGCTCACTACTCTCAGTTGCCTAGAAGCTGTGATTCACACACTGCTTAACGGGGAAGACGGGCACAGAGAGCCAGTGAGTGTTCCAAGGTCACACTGAAGGCTGTCAGTCATGGTGGGGACCCAGAGCCTTGTGCTCCAGGAGTTCTGTCTGAGGAGGAGACAGGTAGCAGAATAGCTGTTAGAAGCTCTACCAGCAGCACAGAGGCCTGCACAGCAGGACTGAGGAGGTGTGTGCTGGTGCTGTGATTGTGGGCACGGAGCAGCTTGCATCCTCCTATGCCCACCTTCAGTCCAGAGCTCATCTCTCTCCTAAAAGATCGGTCCCAGGGAGACTCAGGGAAGGGGCCAGCTCCCTTCATCTGGTGATGGGAAAGTTGGCAGCGACCTGAGAACCAGTAAGCTGGGTGTGGGGTCCACCTGGTCCTGGTCACTCCACTGCAGTGGGAGAGGACCTGCTCGACCAAGTAAAAGGGGAAGGCATACCTCTGGCCAGTCAGCTGTGCTACAGAAGCCATGCAAATCTGGGTCTCTGTATCCCAGGCTGACTTCAAAGCAATAACAGTCTTGCTTCAGTCTCTTGAGTACTGTGATTTCAGGTATGTGCCACCATACCTGGTTACGTGTGTGTTAACATCCTACACACCGTGGGAAAGGTGCACATGAAATTTGTGTAAGTCTTCAAAGACTTCTGTTAGGCAGGGCGTATGGTGTTCACATCTCCAATTCCAGGTATTCAGGGAGTACAGGAAGGTTGTTGGATTTCAGTCCTATCTTAAAAACCTACATGGCTCAGTGCTTGCTGGCATTCACCAACTCTTGGGTTTGGTTCCCAGGACAACATAAACTAGGCGTGTGGTGTGCATATGTAACCCGAGCACTCAGGAATTGGATGCATGAGAATCGACTCCAGAGTTACTTTTATACATATAGTCAGTTTGGGGCCAACTTGAGTGTTTGATCCTGTCCCAAAAGTATTAGAACCCAAACTAAATAACCACAAACCAGTTTGACTCCAGTGTTCATAGCCAAAACAGACTCCCAAGACTTTGGGTCGTTCCCACGTGGAACAGTATGGGGCCAAGAAGAAAGTTAGGGCTGGGCAGGGTTCCAGGAGGAACAGGTTTGGGAATTGGGGGAGCCCAGCTAGGACAGCTTCATGCCATGGAAGGGAGTCGCTTTGTGGTAGTTGACCCTCAGGGTAGGTAGTGATGGTCGCAGCCTCCTCAGCCCCTCTGTCCTGCTCTGGCCCACAGGGCTCGGATGGCGTCTGGGCGGCCAGAGGAACTGTGGGAAGCCGTCGTGGGGGCCGCTGAGCGCTTTCGGGCCCGCACTGGCACAGAGCTGGTGTTACTGACTGCAGCACCGCCACCACCACCCCGCCCGGGGCCCTGTGCCTATGCTGCCCATGGCCGCGGAGCCCTGGCAGAGGCTGCCCGTCGCTGCCTCCACGACATTGCACAGGCTCACAGGGCTGCCACTGTCACTCGACCTCCTGGTCCCCCACCAGCACCACAGCCGCCCAGCCCCGCTCCTAGCCCACCACCTCGGCCAGCCTTGGCCAGGGAGGATGATGAGGAAGATGAGGACGAGCCCACTGAAACAGAGACATCTGGGGAGCGGCTGGGCGGTAGCGATAACGGAGGTGAGCTGATAGAGCTGGCACTGGAGTGGGGTTGCTGGTCCAGGGTGTTCTGGAGCGTTACTTACAGGCTTCACACAAGGGCCAGCCACTTGATGGGAGTAACAACACAGTATGTTGAGCAAATAGCACACCGGGGTTGGGAGATTTCCTTGAGGGCTTCTTGTCTAGCCAAGGAACTGGTAAGAAGTGCAGGCCTTTCTGGAAAGGGGTGGGGCTGCCATCCCACCAAGGGAGGCGGAGAAGCTTCCCAAGAGTGGAATATTGCTGTATCGGAAAAAGCCAGGCCAGAGACCCTTACCAGATCTCATTACATGGCATGTAAGGCTAAAGCCGGCATTTTCTATATCCTATGCTATCCCACTTTGGGCACCTGGATCTAGAGACTGATGTGTGGGGAAAGTAAGGAAGTTGGGTGTTTCTCAGAGAAAGGACTGTAACCACAGGACTTTGAGGAGTGAATAGGAATTACTCATTTGCCATCATTGCCTATGACTGGCAGCCTCATCCTTCCTAAAGAAGCCTGCCTATCAGAGCCAGCTATTCTGCTATCAGATCTTTAAAACTTCGGGCAAGTGACATGGTATTAGGGTCTTTTATTTGTCCCCACCAGACTTCATCTTTCTTTTGGAGCTATTTTTGAGCCATGTCCCAAGCACCATGTTGAATCTAGTAATCCCTGAAAGTGGAAGAGACCCTAAGTGACCAGGGAGGCAAATGAAAAAGTGTTGAGGCACAGGGACCAATTGCAGGGCCTGTCCCACCCACAGGTCTCTTCATGATGGATGAGGATGCCACCCTCCAGGACCTGCCCCCTTTCTGCGAGTCAGACCCGGAGAGCACAGATGGTGAGGATCCTGGGTTGTCCCAGCTCTAGGAGGCCAGGCAGAGGGTAGGGGGACAGAAGCTGAAGCTTCCTTGTATCACAGACGGCAGCCTGAGTGAGGAGACACCCGCCGGTCCCCCAGCCTGCCCCAAGCCCCCGGCCACAGCCCTGCCTACCCAGCAGTATGCCAAGTCTCTGCCCGTGTCGGTGCCAGTGTGGGCCTTCAAGGAGAAGAGGACAGAAGCCCGATCGTCAGATGAGGAGAATGGCCCGGTGAGGGGGGGAACGAGACAAGTGGGATGGCCCGGAGTGGTCTGCTGCGGGGAGACCCACTGCAGTTTAGAAGAAAGGCCCCTCATCTGTCCAGAATCGTTTGGGAGGGAGTCAGGGAAACTGAAGCTCCGGGTCAAAGTATCTCCCAGGATTCATTTCTCCAATACCATCCCGTGTTCTTGGCCTGACCTGGTCCCCGCAGAAAACTCCCTGAAGCAGAGGGGGAAACAGGGCATTGAATGACCATGTGACACACACCCACGCGGGGCGCCTGAGCCTTCCATAGCCACTATCCATATGGCGCCCCGCTGGATTCACGTGGGATGCCTGCTGTCTTGGCTGAAGTGTGCCCAGACCGGGGGTGTTGCACTGGGCCCCTGCTCGGCAGTGCTAGAGTTTTGAAGAAGGAGGCGGGATGTGGAACGCCTGGTTCACAGCCTGCAGGACGGTCCGGGTCAGAAGGCTTCCGGGACGCGGCCCCTGCACACTGACCATTTCCTTCTTCCACAGCCCTCCTCGCCCGACCTAGACCGAATAGCGGCTAGCATGCGCGCGCTGGTGCTGCGGGAGGCTGAGGACACCCAGGTCTTCGGGGACCTGCCGCGGCCGCGGCTCAACACCAGCGACTTCCAGAAGCTGAAGCGGAAATATTAGGCGTGGAGAAAGCCTCGGCGCCTCGGCGCGCGCGGGAGGCCACTGTCTGCTCTGCCCAGCAACAGAACAATTCTTTATGGGATTGGCTCGCTCCGGTTGGGCGGAGCTGGTTCTAGACGCTCAGAGGGTCAACTCCGTTTCTTGCCTAGCAACAGAAGCTTTGCCCGCACAGCCTTGACTCGCGGCCCCAGGGCGGAGCCCAGCTGCGGGAGCTGGCGCTGCTCAGCCAGTGTCCGAAGAGTTGCCAGCCGCCCTTCCAGGGTTCCCCTACCCAATCGGTCCCGGCCTCCTGGGAGTGTGGCCAAGCCCTCCCTAACCCAGAATTGGCCCGAGGCCTTGAATTTCTTACACTACTAGGGCTGTTAATGGATTCTTTTTGTTTTGTTTTTCTTTGCCTGGGTCCTGACACTTGTATCCCGGTCTCCCAGAGGACAGTCTCTGCGTCTGACGCCCCAATAGGTTCCACCGCACGACAGCCTGTCCATCAAAACTTGTCCTGTACCCAGGACGGTACCAGCTTCCTGACCCCGACCCTAACAGGTGCCTTAAAAGGCCCTCTCCCACCCAAGGTGGGGGGGCCAGGGGGCCTCACTTTCCGGCCCTGGACTTGGGTGCGGGAGAGTGGGAAGGGGATCGGGAGAGGCGCTCTGAAATTAAAGTTTTACCTCTGACAAGTGAGTCCGTGTTGTGTGGGTGTGATGCTATGAAACATTCATGGAAATTAAATGAAGTTCAGGGTTCGAGACCCTGTCTTGGGGACTTGACTGTGGGAGTCACAACCAGGGAATCTCCATCTCCCAACATCCAAAAATGAGAAAGGGGGACAGAGGACTGTCATCTTCAAAGTAGTAATATGGATTGCCTCCCTCTAGTTATTTTGCTTTTTGGGATGATTTCACTTTGTAGCCCAGGCTGTCTCCTCAGTCTTTGTGCTGGGATTTCCTATCTGCCCCATCATACCCACCTTTAGTCTATTTGTCCCAGGAGGAGAAGCGATTTTCCCACTTTATTGCAGTGACTGGCACTGTAGAAGCAAAGGAAGAGTGTATAGTGGCGCCACGTGCTTCGAATACTAAGGACAAATGCTGCTTGCTTTCTGCTGCTGCCCAAAGGAATAATAAAGGCACGCCTGTCATTCTATCTGCAGGGAGATGGGTAGGGGGCACAGGAGTTAATGTCACTCTAAACTTCTTGAGACCCTGCCTCAACAAAACGCCTTTAATTCTAGCACTTGGGAGACAGGGGCAGGTGAATCTCCTGGTATAAAAATAAAACAACCCCATCAATGGCCAGGTGTGGTGGTATTTTCCTCCTTCCTCCGCACCCCTCTTTTCTTTCTTTTGGCTTTTAGAGATAGTGTTTTTCAAGATAGGGTTTCTCTGTATAGCCCTGGTTGTCCTGGAACTCTTCTGTAGACCAAGCTGTCACCAAACTCGAGATCTGCCTGCCTCTGCCTTCGCTTCCCCAGTGTTAAAATTAAAAGCATGCACTGCCAACCACCAATCTGTAGAGCTCTATTTTAATACCAGCATTTGGGAGGCAGGCAGATCTCTTAAGTTTGAGCCCAGCTAGGGTGTTATGGTGGATTAACGTACAAGCCAAAAAACTTCTCTGGGCTGAAAGATAACTGCAGCTGGGCTTGTTGGCAGATTTCGCTCATAGGAGGAGGGACCGTTCCTCACAAACAACTATATGCAATTCTGCCCTAATCGCCTGTGGTCTGGGGAGGGGCTAGAGGATACTAGCGAGGAGGAAGTGTAGGGCAGGCTCTGTCTGTGAAGTATGGAAAAGGCTTCATTTTTGCTAGGTAAAACTGCCCGGTGGTTTTTGTTTTTTTTGTTTCTTTTTTTGTTTTGTTTTGTTTTTTGTTTTTTTGTTTTCGGGTAGCAACACGACCACCATGACCTATGCTCTGTAACCCCAATATAGTCAGGTTTCCCAGAATGATCTGTAGTGGAATCATATTTCGGGTTATCCTTCAGGCCTTTGGAGAAGGGTAGACATTTTTGAGATCTTCCCCTAGAGAGCAACTTCCTCTTTATTTGTATTTTATTTTTGCGGTGGGGTAGACCAGGCCAGACTCAAACACAACCGAGCTCTGCCTGCCTCTGCTTCCTAATATTCAACTCATGTGCCACCATGCCCGGGAAAGAATTTTAACACGGCTACATCCAGAGACCCTATCTCACTAAGACAAACACACAAGAAAAAAGAAAACAAAAACAAGTAACTCTAGCTTATGGATCAAGTGCCGATGGATACGTGTGACCGTTATCCGCACAGTCTCATAGCACCTCAAGCAAGTCAGGGCTGCGCATGCGCTGTGAGAGGAGCCAACTCTTTGGACAGACTTTTCCACTGCACAGATATGCTTTGGAATGAATTCAGAAGTGACTCTAACTCTATGCAATCCTCACTGCGCATTGAAACCGTTGTGGTAGCCTGGGAAACGTCGAACCCGCCCATAGAGAAGGGGCGGAGTTTCCGGTGTGACTCTATTGGGAAATCAGAACTTCCGGTGGCGGGTCCGTAGCTGGCTGCTGAGCGAGCGCCACAGTAATTTCATTCCCCTTCACAGCATCCGAGGATGTCACAGCTTGGATCCCGGGGCCGCCTGTGGCTGCAGAGCCCCACCGGTGGGCCACCCCCTATATTCCTGCCATCGGATGGCCAAGCCCTGGTCCTCGGTCGGGGACCCCTGACCCAAGTGACAGACCGGAAGTGCTCCCGAAACCAAGGTGGGCATGGGAGTGGAACTGCGGCAGCGAGTGGGACTGGGAGCAAGGGAGCTTATGCCTAACCAGGAGCAAGACGAGGCATTATGGGAGGGACAAAGAGGATCTGGGAGATTGTCGCGGGAGGTGGAGGGCGGGGAGGATACAACAGAGAGACTGTCGCTGAGCAGGATACATCAGGCCGTGATGCATCAGGCCATGCCCAAGACCTCGGTCTACGCAATGTATCTCATGGAACAAGCCGACCCTACAGATTAAAAACAAATTATCTGTTCTGGGCAAGTCCGGGTCTCTGGCAATCCTAAGGATTCCGAAGGACCGGTCTTATTGAGGCATAAATACCTCGGACCGAGGGTGACACGTCATTCAGTTGGGTGGTAGAGACCGGAGAATCAGTTCAAGCCCAGCCGTTAGTACGTGGCGCGTTCAAGACTATCCTGGGCTACCTGTGTTAGGGGATAGAGGAAGGAAGGGAGCAAGTGCCTCTTCTATTGAAGTCCAAGTAGTAGACTGTAGTTGGCCACGCCCCCATACGTGATGTAAACCCTGACTCCACCCCCTTACCCTCAGTGGAGCTGATTGCAGACCCTGAAACCCGGACAGTGGCAGTGAAACAGGTACCAGTGTCTCAGCGTCGGGTAGCAAGGACTTGGGAGAGGGGCCGGGTAGATCACAACCCTTCAGAAGGCTGGCCAGCTTTCCCCTTTTCCACCGTGCCAGGCTTGAAGCCTCTAACCTTTCAAAGTTCTGACTGGCCACATGAAGTGAATAGGTGGGAAGATTAAAGGTCTGGTTGGGAGATAAGGTATTGGACTTGGTGGGGAGGCAGGTGTCCCATGAGGGGTTGGTGCCAACCCTAGCTCCTCCTTTGTCTGCAGCTGGGTGTTAACCCATCAACCGTTGGGGTCCAGGAGTTGAAGCCAGGGCTGTCTGGCTCTTTAAGCTTAGGGGATGTCCTTTATCTGGTTAATGGCCTATATCCCCTGACCCTGCGTTGGGAAGAGATCAGCACACCAGGATCCCAGCCAGATACTCCACCATGCACTCCTGTGGAACCGGAGGAAGGGGAGGATACTGAACCTCAGAAAAAGCGAGTTCGGAAGTCCTCCCCTGGCTGGGAGAGCGTAAAGAAGTTACTGGTGTTCACAGCATCTGGAGTGAAGCCCCGGGGCAAGGTGAGGCCACTACCACAGCCTAGCCATTTAATTCAGAATTTCCTGTGCAGCCCTGAGCTAAAGTCTCTGAGCCTTAGCTGTTCTGTGAGGAGACTGCTGAGACACCAGTGGTGGCTGCTACCACTGAGGTACAGGGTGCAGAACAGCCCTGTAATGAGTGGTGACCAGACCTTTCTTGGATGTTTTCACGGGTCAGTCTGAAATGAGGCCACAGAAAAGCGTGTGGTCTGCTTCCCTGTGGCACTCAGCCAGCCGTGAGGTTTGTTTTTTATGCAATGATACCTGCTTGCATGATTTTATGTGTACTGTATGCACGCGGTGGCTGCAGAAGCCAGGGAGCACTGGGTCCCTGGAGCTGGAGTTACAGGAGAAGGAGCCATTTGGCATGTGCACTCTTAACCATTGAGCCTCTCCAGCTCCTCCAACAAAGCCATTTGCTCTTTCTGGGCTGTTAGTCCTCCGGGGAGATGCTCAGGGAAAAAGCGTTGGTGAGACTCTGGTCCCTTCTAAAACATGGAAATGGAGGGCAGAGGACACAGAAGGGTAATACTGGTATTAAAAGGCTGGTGTCGCCAGGTGGTGGTGATGGCACATGCCTTTAATCCCACCCAGTACCTGGGAGTCAGAGGCAGACAGATCTCTTAAGTTCAAAGCCAGTTTGGTCTATAGAGTGAGTCTTAAAGAAGAAGAAAAGGCCAGTGTTGATTAGCCTCTAAGGAAGGTCAGAGATGAGAGTATCGCTGTCCCTGTTTTTGGTGACACCAGGTGGCTGCCTTTGACCTAGATGGGACCCTCATCACCACCCGCTCCGGAAAGGTCTTTCCCACTAGTCCTAGTGACTGGAGGTGAGGTGGGACATGGGAAGAGGCTGGGATGGGAGCCTAAGTCCTTTACATCACAGTCACCTGTTACTTCCCATCAACCTTAGGATTCTGTACCCAGAGATTCCAAAGAAGCTCCAGGAGCTGGATGCTGAGGGCTACAAGGTGTGTGTTCACATGGATAGGTGTGGGAGCCTGTGCTTACCCTGTGCTTCCGTGTGCATGGACACAAGGTGTGTGTATGTGTGTGTGTGTGTGTGTGTGTGTGTGTGTGTGTGTGTGCATGGATAGGTGTGCGAGCCTGTGCTTCCACTGAGTTGTGGTGATGGGGCTCCAGCGTATCCCTGTCTATCCCCAGCTGGTAATCTTCACCAACCAAATGGGCATTGGGAGAGGCAAGCTGCCAGCAGAGGTTTTCAAGGCCAAGGTGGAAGCTGTATTGGAGAAGCTAGGGGTTTCATTTCAGGTACGGCCAGAAGGGACGCTTAGGGACTATGTGGGACAGGGACCCAGAGAGAACATGTCAATGTGTGGGGTGGAGGCCTTGGCTGGTATCATGCTGACAGGAACTGTCCTCTGAGGTCTTAAGGGGACAGACACTAAGGACACTGTGTCCTGGCCATCTCCATAGGTGCTGGTCGCAACGCATGCAGGTCTAAACCGAAAGCCAGTGAGTGGCATGTGGGACCATTTGCAGGACCAGGTAAGCACTCTCCTGTCTTTTATGCTGTCCTTCCCAGCCCTGCACCTCACTGCACAGGTGGCCACAGGAAACACCTAGAGGTGCTGGGGGCATCGGGTAACCAGGTCCAGCCTCTGAGAGGTCTGAGGCAGTGTTAGGTAAACAGAGATGCTCAGGCTAAGGGGGAAAGCCTGGTAGGTAGCAAGGACATGGGAAACAGGGTGAGAAGGACGTGGCCTGTAGTTAGAGGCATACAGATCCAGGA